TATATATATATATATATATATATACACACACACATACATATATGAAACAAATTAAGAGCTGAATTAACATTGCTTTATATTCTGAAATGTAAAATAAACATTTAATGAAATTAATATAAAACATCAATTTGTAAATGCACCAGTGTGCAGGCATTTTTTTTATTGTTTTACTGTTCAGGTAAGTAATATAGCCTACAAAAGAAATCTAATAAAGTAATCAAATGTAAATGAACACTGCATAGTTTTCACTTTATGAATTGATAGATTAATGCTTATTAAAGCTGACGTTATTCAGATTGAGAGCTGTGAGTGATTTTCTCTTTGCATTTTGTTGTTTGATTAACATTAACAAGACAATATTGTCGCACATCGGATTTTCTCCCAACTGTTCCCGTCCACTTAAGACATAAACTGTTTAAGTGAACACTCTCCAAGCCGGCCCTTTTGACACATTTTGTGTGTATTTGATCGTTGGATGTGCACCCGAAGCCCAGAGTTTAATAATATTAGTATTAAACAAATCCATCATTTGTAATAAAGCATTTTAACTTTAAACCATCTATTCTGTCCAAAATATATGAGTCCATCCCCTGTCGTCCTTTTTAGTGACCTTAAAGTGACCTTTTTACTGGAGAAATCAATATTATGGATAGAGGACTCATATTTTAGCCGGAAGCAAAGGTTTAAAGTTAAAAAATATCGTAATGATGGATTTGTTTCTTACAAACACAACTTTTTCGCTTCACATGATGTTGACTGGACTAAATTCATGTCATTACTTGTGGACTATTGTGGTGTTTTTATCAGCTGTTTGGACTCTCATTCTGACGGCACCCATTCACTGCTGAGGATCCATTGGTGAACAAGTGATGCAATGCTAAATCAACATCTTGGCCTCGAGGTGAAAAAAATTCCTCTTACTATTGAATTAGATACATATATACTGAAATATATGATTTAGGAAGAATTAAATTGTGAGCTGCTACATAGAGTTTGAAAATTAAAAAACGTAAGTATACAGGCAAATTTATTACAGAAAGGTCACTGAAATTCTTCCTTCCTTTGGGCTTTATTGAATTAAAAATACTTATCATTGGTTAGCACCATGTTTGAAAAAACAACATGCATGATCAGAATAGTCAATCATCAGCAACTTAGTTAAACGACTGAGTATTAAGGGCACATCAACACTGTTTTCCCTAATATAACATCTGATTTGAGAGGGACTTGGCCCTAGAGATGTTGCTGCGTTTAACCATGAAATATAAAGAAGATATTGCCTTTGTCAAAGTATCATGTGGTTGAAAGTACAGAGGCTGAGCAACTGTACTCTTGGCTTTTGGGTTGTAATTCTGCATCAAGGCTCCTGCTGTCAAGGCAAAATGAGATGAGCTCTCCATGTGCTATTAAAAGTCTTGAAGAAAATGCAGAATTTTTTGAATGCAACAATGCTCTTTTAACCTTGATTAATACCATATTTGAGTGTTACATTGCTGCTGCTTTACATGTAAACTATAATCTGTGCAATCATAAAAGCTGACTGTAAAACTAACAACTGTGTGAACTATATCAACTTTGGCAAGATTGCTTGAGTTGTATGGTAAACCAAGGAATATACTAGATAAAATCTTTCTACTGCATCAATCATTTTCCTTAAATAATTTTTATTTCTTTCAGAATAACTACGAGAAATGTATATGCAAGTTCTGTACAATTTTCTGTTTATGCCTGGGATTGCTTTAAAAAAAAAAAAACGAGTGGTGAAACAGTTTGAAAAACGGGATGCTGACACTTAGTGCACTTAAAACCCCCAAAATATTTTGTCCAACAGCAATCCTTCGGTTTGCTCTGGAAATACTTCAGAAAAATCAGTTCTTCAGATTATTGTGTTGGCTCCAGTTAATGTTATCAATCTTTTGCTCTGAATCCCAATTCTTCAGTGTCTATAGAGGCACGTTAAAAATACTGCCATTTTCCGAGAACTGTGTCTTTGATTGCATCAACAAACTGTGCAGGCACCCAGTAGACCCAATATTGTGAGGCTTCTGTCGGACCCAGCTGAAATGCCTGGGGTGACAAACAAACAAACAAACAAGCATATATATATATAAATATATATATGTCTTATAGCAGCACCAAACAATAAGTAAAATATTTACAGTTATCATTAGTATATTAAGTTAAAAAAATCCAGTTTGAGAATGACAGATACAATGCATAGTTTGTTAAATGTTGCGATAAACACATACCATCATATGATAGTCCTCATGACCCTCTATTGGCTCAGTCACAACATTTTTGATGGAACCCATCGGGATTTTTTCTGTTCTTTCTGCAGGCCAGAAAAAAAATCAACATAAACCAAGTATTATGGATAAGTGTTTAATTAAATGATAAAATCACCTTTTGTTCCGATCCACAACTGATCCTGTTCCAGTTTAAAAGTGAGTCGTACTTTTCCACCAGATTTGTTGTACATTCCTGATAAAGGCACTGTTGGCAGACGCTCCTGTTCAACAAATAAAGACATCACTCAGATGTCATTAGTGCGCACAAGGTACTTATTCTTCATCCTTATAAGAACTTTACAGCTCTGTGTGTGTGTGTGTGTATGTGTATATATATATATTAGTGCTGTCAAACGATTAATCGCATCCAAAATAAAAGTTTTGTTTACATAATATATGTTTGTGTACTGTGTATATTATGTATATATAAATACACACACATGCAGTATATATTTTAAAAATATTTACATGTATTACATGTATATATTTATATTAATATAATTTATATTATAAATATATTTTTATAAATAAACATTTTTCTTACATAAATACATGCATGTGTGTGTATTTATATACACATAATAAATATACACAGTACACACACATATATTATGTAAACAAAACTTTTATTTTGGATGTGAT